TCTACAGAAAAAATAATAATGATGTTGAAATTACGGTACTACTGTTTCAAGTGACGAATTATGGAGAAATGGAAATTAATAGCAAAACAATGTATAGAAGGAACATTTAATTGCGTTCTGGCTGTTGAGAAGAATGAACGAGAGAAAATATCTTTCCATTTGCAGAGATATTGTTAGTTTTGTTTGGAATCGCATTAGGTTTTCGGTCAACTTCAGTGTTACGATAATAAGAGGGCAATGTGTTTATGAAGCTGTTGGTAGTGATTTATAAGTCAATACGAGAGCCGATTTAATCAGAGGCACGAATATAGGGCGGCATCTATCTTTCTGATTGGTGAAAAGGAAAGATCTATGATTGTGTTGATTTGATTCATAGTGAAAATACCTTAAAAGATTCTATTCGAGTACAAGTTGATACGTTGAAGACGCATTTTTTTTGTAGCTGGAATTATTTTAATTTATTTTGATGACAATGTTAAGTTCTTGAAATCTAGATGATACAACAAAATTGATTTTATATTATAAAAAATGCTAAGAACAGAGAAATTCTAAAAAAAAAATATGAATGTCTCTATTGAATTAAAGTAAATTTTTATAAAATGATGTCGTCGTTAATATAATGATTCAAGAGCTCGCTCGTAATTAATTCATGTCTGTGTATAGTAGCTAATTTGAAACCGTGTTTTTTTCATAATTTAGAAGAAAAAAAACTGGACGATCAAGAATAGAGTTTCATATTTCATCAATGTTTATTTTTTTCATATCATAGAAAGACATCATATATGTACAATATTTCATTCATTATGTTCATCTTAATAACGTTTCAAGTTTTCTTATAAAAAAGTAGTATTAAAAATGCTAAATAGTACAAAAACAATATTGACTGTTATTCACAATGTGTATAGATTAGTAACGACGTTTTCGTTTAGTCTTCTGACGAGTACCAACATGTAAATTTTCATCTAAAGAATTAATACCATCTTGTGAATCATCATCACTATTACATGTTAATGTTTTTTTCTTTACGACTTTTTTTGAAAAATGTTCAGATTGTTTTTGACAATCAACATTTGATGAAGATTTTCGAATCATATCGTCGGGCCTATGCACAGAAGAATAATAACGTTTTTAAATTCATGTACAAATAGAATACTGACTCTGTAGATGTAATAGTAGTATTGATGTTTAAATTATTAGTATGTAATGGATAAACATCTTCAAGTGGAGTAGATGATAAATTAGAACTAGCTTGTGATGAAGAGTGGGTATCATTACTAACAGCTGAGTGACTATTTGAAATCAAATTTGTATTTTCAAAGATTTTTCGATTTTGTTCAGTATAGATTTCAATATTTTTTTCCTTGATTAGAGTACGCATTTTATTCGACAAATATCTTGTATCACCAAACATGATTGCATATAAAAATCGTATTGCTCGACCATTTTTAGGAAAATTTAGTTCGAACACGACATACATTGCTAGTACAAGTGCTAAACCATCATCAGGTGATGTTGTTGAAACGATTGAAAGAAAATCTGTATATATAGTGATTGCATTATCAGTAAACACCATTGATGGATATGGACTTGATGGTGACTAGAAAAAAAATGTTCACGATTAGCAAACCAAAAAAATGCTTGTGTGCTATATAGCCACAATATATTGATTATTCTGGTCAACTCGTGTGAAAATATGCTGAGACTATCATATCATTCTACATAACTATTAAAAGTGTTTTTCCTGTAAGATTCAAAGAATAAAAACGTTTGTAATATTGATAGATCACACAAATACAAGCTATTTTTGGAAACTATTTGTCTAAACTATTTCTTCCTGAAAAAGACGCGCAACTATTTATAAAAAATTTTGTTTCGTTAGTTCAATACGAACATTTCATCTGTCTGTCTGTGAAACCTAAAAAAGATGCATCTTTCAAAGCTACAGCAAAGCACTCACTGTATTGCAATATAAATGGTGAATTGATTCATCGAATTGGCGACAAAGTACACGAATAAGTTGTATTGGTGGAGAATCTAGAAAGACATACGATTATTTGAAATATTTTAATTCATGTTATAACCTGTAATAAAAGCAGGTGTTGCAATAATCCTTTCAAGTAAAATCGGTATTTGACGACGTACGACAGCACGTAAATCAGCACCTATCATCATCTTTACTTCTTCAAAAATCTATTGCAGAAATAAATTTATTAAATGTAAATGAAAGAAGTTACAAATAAACTCACCAACACTGGGTCTTTATATCCAGGAAATTCTTCAAGAATTTCTGACGTTGTTTGATTACGAACAGCTTTACGTCTAACATGCAGAGTTTCTTTCCATAATTGAAGTCGAATATTAAGATCAAGTTGAGGATCATCACGTAACTTTTTGGCTTTATTTTGAATAACAGTTAATGTATCATCATCGTAAGATACCAACATTATCTGAAAAAAAAATCAATCAAAAGCCGAAATATATGTGATAAAGATTTACTTGTTTTTGTCGATCTCGTTCAGCAACTTCACCAATCATTTTTTTCACTGGCCGCCCAGATCCAAATCTTGAATACTTCGACTGATAAGCTTTTACTTCTTCATTATCTCGATTTTCAAAACGTTTTCGTTTCAGTTTAATTTGAATAGCATCTTTCCAAATTCCCTAGTTAAAAAAAACAATAAAAATCTTAGCTAGTACATATATAGTGGATTGAAACATTAAATGCCTGAGAAATGATTATGTCTTTCTCTATTAGAGCTAGTTTTTCAATTCTTAATTACAAATGATAATCTAATTTTGAAAATGATACAACTTGAAAGTGTATAATTCATCCTCTCCTCTACAGCTTCAAGTTATTCAGAATTTGAATATTGACATCTTTTGATTCTAATTTTAAAAGATATCAATCCGTAAAGTTCCATTATGAGTACGCTTGTAGTTTACGGCATCTCTATAAAGCAAGCTAAAAACATTCTTCAGCTATGTATACAATTGTTTTAAGCTTTTGATTTCTTTTGACACATTATCAAAAAATATGTCCAAATTGTTATAGAAATAATGTAAATAAAAAAATCAATTGAAACGAGAATATTTTAATTAAGTATAAAACAATCGAAGTTTGATTTGTCTCATCTAGCAAATCTCCACTTTAAATATGAAATGAATTCTACTGACTAGACTATTTCAAACCTAGAATCAACTATGCTTCAAATTATAACAGGAAATAGTAATTTTATTGAGTGTTAGAATTGCTAAATCGTTTCCAGAAAGCATATCACTGCATATCTCGTTCTTCTCATGACAAAATGCTATGGCATTATTTGGATTTCTTTATCCAATGTTGTACTTTCCTTTTTAGTTCAATTAAAACATTATTTTTTTTTGTGTATTAGTTATCTCGGATACTAATGCTTGCTCTCTTAATGGATGAATAGGAAACGTAAAAGATAAAAACAATACTTGAACCAAATAAATTGCGCAGATTTATATTCAAAAATTTTCTATCACATTATTCAGTTGAGTTAAATAATAAAAGTCGACTTACAACATTGTCTTTTGTTAATGGCAATTTTAATTTACGAACAATAGCTGTACCTATATCGTCAAATTGTTTACGAGTAGGATAACTAAATAAAAAAATCAATAAATAATTAAATTCAACGAATACGACATTGAACTGTTTCTTTATCCAGTTCCTTGGTTGATAAAGATATTATAGTATTAGCAGTGTCTGTGCCGTTTGAGACAGGAACAAAACTACTGTGGCAACCAGAAATCTCACATTTCATTAAAATCTTGGCAGATTCAATATCAACTTGTACTATATGCAAAAGCGTTCAACCGTTTCAGATAACCTAAGATAGTTTTCAGTTTATTTTACTGATATAAAATAATTTGCTCATGTACTGTACGCGGGAATAGATAACTTTCGTCACAATACCGATTTGCCTACTTAAAAAATTACTAGAATTTATTGGACACATGTCATTCAGAATTCAATTACTTATTAAACCTTTTTTGAATGAATCTACGTAAAATGTATGAAAGATCGAGCAACTCAAAAAATGGTACTAAAAATAGAAATTGCTTCTATAAATATTTCAAATTTATATTTGCCACAAAAAACACTTTATGAAAGAAGTATGTCTGATGCAAGGACCATAAATTATGTTTTTATTTAAAATCACTGCAGGTCGTTCTTAATTAAGTATAACTTACAAGAGATTGAAATTGTTTATTAAATCATGAGCTATTGTATCAATGAGTACTTGACGATTAGTATGGTGTGGTGCAAACTTGTGAATTGCACCAGCTTCTATATCTTGAAGCAAAGCATTTGGCAATGTTGGAATACTATATTGGTCAGGAAAAGTTAAATTGATTTCTGATTTCGTTGATGATTTCTCTAATATTTGATCACTCATACTATTATCTGTTAAAAAATTAATTTGTGATTCGAAATAAGAAGAAACTCTAGAATTCAATGTAGAACTTGATGATGAATCAGTAATGGTGATTGAACTATCGTCGTTGATTTTAAACAATTTTTCTCGCTCTCTTAAAAATAAAAGCTTTTGCTTTAATTTTGGAAATAATGTTAATTTTTCGATGTTGTCCATCATAAAAAGAGTTTCACCATCAATTTCATGTTCTAAAAAAGATATGTAAGAGATATATAGTTGTGATGATTAAAAATATGAAAATCTTAAGACTTTTAATTTTTTTGATGAAGCTTCACATTTAGTGCTTTATAAAATTAGAAAAAGACATCATGTTTTTTCTGTTAATATTAAAAATAATTAAAAAGATATGGATTTAAACAAAAACATAACTTTTAAATGTTTTAATTACATTATGTTTCAAATCTTAAGCCTAAAGTAAATTTGTCTATTCTGTTGATGATTCAGGTAGATGATAAGGTATCTTATTTTAGTAAAGTAGCAAAATTTATTATTGTCTCTAAACCGAAAAATCTATTACATATGGTTGTTCTAAATTTTCGTATTTTGAATGTAATACGATGATTCTTAGTCGCATAATATTTCTAATATCTATTGATATAAAAAGAAGTTTAGAAAGATTTAATGATGATCAGATGCAATTAATTTTTTAGTTTGATCAATAAGAAATTCATATTTATTTCAATGAGATAAGAACTTGTGAAATACTATGTATCTGTTGTGAATGTATCAATACAAAGTGAGACGTGCAGTAAATGAAACAAAACTTGAGTTATCTAATTCGTAAATGTCAAGTCCTTTATAAAAATAGTTCAGACAATATGGATCAAGAATAGAATAATTATTCTTTGATTTTATCTCCCAAGCACATAAATTCTCATTGTAGCAAATAGTCTCCAATATGTCCACCAACAACCACCATTTGTAATTCATTTTGAGAATACGAACCACTTGAGCGAATCTTGGCGTTTCATGAACATTCATTAAATCTATTATATAAACACTACCACGACGATATTCAACGTTTTGATGACAAAACTTCTTGCATTGCTGTAAATCTTTACTAAAATCAATATTACCAAAATGACTAATCAAAGTCTGCTTCATCAGAGTATCAAACAAATTATTTTTAACTTTTTGTATTACGATTGCTTGGTCGAAGCTGTGCAATTGAATCGTTCTACATGATATAAATGCTTGTTTTAATCGATATCTAGTAGCCAACATTTTTGGTATATTCTTGTAATTATTTGATCTGAGTGAGATCTTTTTGAAGTATGAGTGAAATGCTTCGTAACGCATTGACCATTGTTTGATTGCTGGACCATAATCATTTATAACCTGATCATATTCTGTACAAAAATGCAACTTTGGAATAATTTTAGATGGAAAGTGAGTAAGCATCGATTGATGCAGAGCATAACTTAACTCTTGAAGAATTGGCAACCATGATCTTCTAAATGGTATTGAAAGAACTAGATCAATTATTTCACGTAATTGTTTGTATACAATAATGGATGGTAGTTTATCAATAAGATCATAAAAAATTATTGGAAACAATCGGAAAAGGCAAAGCTTTTGTGAAGCTGTAGCTGTTATTCGATCTTTGTGAAGGTGCTTGACCAGGATAGCAGGAGGCCGATCGACTGAATCAAAAGCACCATATTGAAACTTTTCCATGCGTTCTTGAATGCGGGCTTCGAAATTAAGACGAAAGAAGAAAAATGAATGAAATACAAAAGAAGAGATAAAAAATAAAAATAAAAGATTAAAAGGTGACGATTTTCATTAGAATAAAACAATTCCTAGAAAATGATTAATGATAATGAATCAATTATGATTGACTGTATTAATTGAAAGCTGTTCGTTTTTTGAAGTCTTTGTATTAACACATGATTCACCAAACCACGGTGTAATTCTATTGTTACATTAATATTCTAAGCGCTCAAAAATAAATAGAGTAATTGAAAATTTGAAAAATTACTACGTATTCATGTGATCTGCAAATATCGTGCATTACTGGGCAGTTATAGCTTTAAATGTAGAAGATTTATATGTTAAAAGTAACGGTTAATAAATTTGTTATAGATATGCTTGTTCCTATAACTTTACGAAGTTTCTATCAGGTAAGATCTATTAAACTATTTCATTCAATAACTACTCGCTTTTAATTTTAATTGAATTTCATAAGTGTTTCGATTTTTTTACTACAATTGCCATTTTCTTAACTGAACAGTTTGATTATTAAAATTTAAAACATGAGAATGGGTTTTTTCTTAAAGCTACAATAACTTATTAGAAGATACTTTTCCTTAAATTTTATCAAAGCCTTACAGAATACGAATAATATCGATTATAACTGATTCATAATCATTAATCATTTTTAAGTTACTCATCCCAATCTTATAATAAACATATTTTCAATAGAGACGTCATCAAGAAAGAAAACCGATTCATCTCAATTTGCTTTTTCAAGTACACTTTAAAAAATTCTATTTATCATTGATTTTCACCAGATCTTTGGATAGCAAGTGATATCTCACCATAAGTTAATAAGTGCATTGATGATGCTTCTTTAAGTAAACTTATAATGACTAGAGGACAAAGTCCCTCCAAATAATCATGCATAAGATCAGCCGGCAATGACGAGATCGGATGGAAACCAAAAAGATTGTGAAGAACACTTTGACTGACGACACCCATCAAGGGAGATTTACTTGGGTTTGTACTGATCTGTTGAACCAAATCATCATGTATAATACTGGTTCTAATTGCAAACTTCATAGATGACACAGGTAAGTTTCTTTCTGGATATGTAATGAAACAACGTCGACAAAAATAGCCACTACTAAAACTGGATTGGAACCCGCCAATCTGATGAGCAGCTAAGTTGTCAGCAACCAACGTTGAGAATGAAAATTTTATCCGATGACCATTAACAACAAGTCCTTCGATTTGCAGCTGGTTAAGATTGTTAATTATTGGTTCAAAGAAGCGTTTAGCTTTAGCGTGATCCTTAACAAAATGTTCATGATTAGCAGTTTATTCAAAGATCATGGTATCTCTTTCTGAGGAAGTCGAAAACGGCCCTAATTCTATTCACGAAGCACAATGTGTGAGTACTCAAAGTAATTTTATAAATTTAAAGCTAATAAAATAAGTGAAACTCGCCGACTATACGTAGCATGAGACTTTTTACCTTAATGACTACACTTTCACAAAGTGCAACCAAGTGAATTTGATCTAACTGAGACCTGTGCTGGTCTGGAATATCTTCCAAAGAAAAATAAATCATAACCATTTTGTGTCGATCTTTCTTGGCACCGATGGGATTCGTTAAGCCTATTTCATCAGCATACAATTGTATGAGCATACTGTCATCATCAATTCTGGATCCATAATTACTATCCCGAAAAGAAAACATTATATCTTCATCTTTAACTACAGCTTCTTGTTGTTGTTTAATATTATTCAAGATCTGATCGACGGTCTCTTGATTGTGTAACATAGATATCAATGTTTGATCAATTGGAACAAAGTAACTGTATTGTAACTTTTCACCTGGAGCTGATACAATTACTTCCTGTGGCGAATTATACTTAAAGTATTTCTCACAGTACTTTAAGAATTGATATTCATTATGTGTAACAGCTTCAACTGCATGGCAGACCTCTTTCATGGTTCTTCTAACAATTCGTAATTCAATAAAATCCTTGTTTACTTCAGAAGTTGTTTTCGATGATATTTTTGTTGTATTACTTGCATCAAATCCAATAGCTTGCTGCTCCAATATTGATTCTATGTTATTTATCAATGTGACGATATAATTAGAGATCGACTTGATGGTGGTCTTTGGAAGACAAAATTCCTCTCGTAATTGTAACATAAAATAAGTAAATGACTTTTGAATTTCTGATAAAAACGTGAGATTACTTTCCTCGTTAAAAGGTAATTTTAATAAATTTTGTGGGTCAGTACTTGTTGTTTGTTGATTGTTATTGAGTGCACAAGCTTCTGAGCTATCAATTAATAAATCATTATCATCGTTGTCGTTTGCATTTATTATCAAATTATGGTTCATTGAATTTAAGTCGATATTTGAATCCATGTTCAAATGTTGATTATTATTTGTAGAGAGTAAATAAACATTTTTTTCTTCGGACATATGTAATTCGTTTGCATGGTGTCGATAAACATGGCCCTTGTAAGCTGCATAGGTTCGATAACAAACACCACATGATGAATTTAACTCACAAGTTATATGAAAATTATGTTCATTTTGGTGAAATATGGTAATGTGGTGAAAAAATTTTCCGAAAGTTGTAAATTCGCGATTATTTTGACAAAGAGGGCAAACGAATGAGGACATAATTATCTCAGTGTGAAAATAACAAGATTACTTATTAAAAGAAGCGATTCAACGTATGAAATAAATGTTTTTCTAAACATATATATATTTCTAAACTTTTCAACAAAAGACAACTATATAATATATTAGTAACAATAGCCAATAAAAGGCAACGATGACAAAGACCATATAGACAAAGATCATGTCAACAAAAACAATGGTGACAAAGACAATATTGACAAAGATCATATAGACAAAGATCAAGTCAGCAAAAACAGTGACAATCACAACAACAATTACTTTCCTTTAAATTTCTTTTGCTTCGCCTATTCTTACACGTTTATCTTATTCAGGGAAATATAAACCGAAAAAGAAAACGATACTAAGTTATAGTAAATAAAAGTATTAAACTGCACCCACACTCCACATTACTTTCTGATCTATACAAAAAAATATGTTAACCAGAATAGGTTATCAATAATGAATTCAAGTAATAAAACATACGCGCATTATTTACACGTAGAAAGAAAACAAAATAACTGACCTTGGAGTTGAAAAATAATAAAATCATCATTAATGAACGATTTGCACCATTCCATTACTTGTTCACAAGACC